ATAACAGAAAAGGAGTTGAAGAAAGTTTTGGGATGTAATATTGATGTAAGGATTAAACAATAACAAAACATATGTCAAGGTTATAGGATTCACTAATGGTATTTCAAATAAATATAATATAAACTCTTTTTATTACTCAACTAGAAACCACACACAAAGGAGGTTCTAATCGGATGATTTCTCGTTATTAGCTCATTATAAATTACTAACATGATCATATTAATTATCTTATATAAGTAATACCATACTTATAAATATCATCAAGCATTCATGTTGCTAGTTTATGTTAACAACAAATCAAGTTTCTATCATAATAACGATTTCGGCCGAAAACTATGAAAGATCAAGCATTTGATGTACCAAATATTATACAACACAAATCTAAATTAAACATTTAATAAGCAAGGTATTAAGAATTAGTAAGATAAAAAGATAAAACATGTTAATAACAATCTTTCTTGGATATAAACATTTAAAGCTCATGTTGAGTTTATATTATACCTATTCTAACACCATTAGAGAAACCTTTTCACCTTGACATAATTAACTTAGTTAAACATTAAGAAGGAGAAAAACACAAATAAACAATATAAGAACATAAACATAATATAAGCTAACTAAGTATAGTAAAGGAAATGAAAGAGCATAAACAAGAGATTACTATAGCATAAAAGAAAACTTGAACATTACAAAGATGTAGAGAGAAAGCAAGAAGATAACTTTGATCTGAAAATTAATATGACTAAATACATGGACAATGCCTCCTTTTATAGGCTAAGTTTCAGAACTATTGATTGATTGAAGAATTGGTGGGCATCCATTGATTTGGTGGCTGGTTTTTGACATTAATGGCTGCTGGTTTTTTGATATTGTGGGCTGATTTTTGATATTGTTGGCTGGCTAAAATGTCATTGCTCACATCAGAATTATAGCCAACTGAATTGTGGAAGCTGTGGGCAATTGTCTCAGCTTTCCATAAAAAAAAACCAGAGCTCATTTGGACTTCTAGAACTCAAGATATGAGCCAAAAACCGAATAGTGCTTGAGCTGCAGGACAGCTTCCGACGTCTTCGTTGTTGCTAAGATTTGGGCTTGAAAACGGCAGAACTGAGTCTTTGACTTCATATGAAAGTTGTAGGTCTATGTCTTACCTTTCCATCGATATAAAATGGACCTAAATCTGATATCTACAGCTCCAGATATGATCAAATTACTAAACGGTGTTCGAGTTTGGAATGCACCAGCAACACTTTGCTAAGTTTGGCCTTCTTTTTATCCTTTCAATTTCAATCCTTAAACTCATCAATCAATCCTCTTATTTATGTGATAGACCTGCATTTAGGATGAATATTTACCATGAATTAAAGGTATATTATATTTTTAGACTTGCTAATATAAAACATGCTTTTGTTAGAGAATTTAATGATACTTTAGGTGCAATATGATGACATAAATCCTTAATGAGAATGCACTTTTAAGTACTAATCAAATATGAACTCTTATTATTCAATTGGAAACCACATACAAAGGAGGTTCCAATCAGCTTACAAATTGTTAACATGATTACATTAGTCATCTTATTCGATTAATGCTAATACTTATAAATGTTGCTAGGCATTCATGATTATAACTTATGTTAACAACAAGTCAAGTTCCTTTCATAGCTCAGGTGTCGGTTATACCATACAGTATGGGCTATGAAAGTGCCAAGCATTTGTTGTACCAAGTGTTATACAACATAAATCTAGATTAGTCATTTAACAACCAAAGTATTAAAGAGTCAACAAGATAACAAATACAAAACATGTTAGTATCAAACATTAAAGTCTATGTTAAGTTTACACTATACTTATTCTTATATCATTAGTATAACCTTTTCACCTTGACATAATAAACTTAACTAAACATAATGAAAGAAAGAAAAATAAATAAATAAAATAAGAACATAAATAAGATAAAATTTAACTAAGTAAAGGAAAGGAAATGAAAGGTATAAACAAGATATTAATAGAAGAAAAACTTAAGCATTACAAAAAATACAAAGAGAGAAAGCAAGAGCATGATCTTAATTTAGAAACCAAGATGCCTCCTTTTATAGGCTAAAATTAGAAACTATTGATTTGATGACTATTTGACAAGTGGGTGGCCAACTCTTGACTTGGTGACAATCCTTATCTTCTCTTGTCTACCCAAAACATTATTGATAATGTTAGAATTGAAACCACTTGACACATGAAAGTTTTAAGAAATTGTCTTAGCTTTCCAGGTAAAAAAAAGTGAAGTTCATTTAAACTTCTAAAACTTCAGATATGGACCAAACATAGAACAGTGTCTGGGTTGCAGGACAGATTCAGACTTCTTTGTTGTCGCTACCATTTCGACTTGAAAACGACCTTATTAAAACCAAACCTCCATATGAAAGTTGTAGGCCTATGTTTTACCTTTTCATCCATATAAAGTAGACTTAAATGCAAGATCTATAGCTCCAGATATGACCTAATTACCGAATAGTGTTCCGGTTTGGACTGCGCCAACATCTCTTTTCTAAGTTTGGCCATCTCTTTATCCTTTCAATTTTAGTTCTCAAACTCATCAATCAATCCTTTTATGTGATAGGTTTGCATTTAAAATGAACATTTACCACAAATTAAAGGTATCTTATATTATTAGATATGTTATTATAAAACATGCTTTAGTTAAAGAGTTATTGGTACTTCAAGTGCAAAATAATGATATAAAACCTTGATAAAAATTCACTTTTAAATACTAATCACTTATATATCTACAGTTGATAGCTTGATGTATGTCATGGTTTGTATAAGGCCATATATAACTTATGCAGTTGGTTTGGTTAGTCGGTTCCTCTCCAATCTTGGTAAAGAACATTGGTTAGTAGTGAAATGGATACTCAAGTATCTCAAAGGTACTTCTAGTTTCAGTTTCTGTTTTGGTAATAATAATCATATGTTGGTTGGAGACACAAATGTAGATATGACTAGTGATGTTGATTATAAAAAATCTACATTAGGATACTTGATAAAGTTTGTAGGGGGAGCAGTCTCATGACAATCAAGGATGCAAAAATACGTTACATTATCTACTATAGAGGCTGAATATATTACTCTTACTAAAAGGGATAAAGAGTTGTTATAGATGAAGAAGTTCTTACATGAACTTGGCCTAGTTCAAGAGAACTTTGCGTTGCACTGTAATAGTCAAAGTGCAATCCATCTCAGTAAGCATCCTACTTTTCACTCTCGATCAAAGCACATTGAGGTTAGATATCAATGGATTCGAGATATTATGGAGATGAAGTTATTTGTTGTTGAGAAGATCTATACTGATAACAACGTGTTAGACATGATGACCAAACCTCTATCGAGATAGAAGTTTGAATTTTATAGAAAGGAAACAGGTTTGGTAGAGCCTCATAAATCGAAACTTACATATTGATCGCCACTATAGCGAATTCCTCACATGGTACGTGAGAGGGAGATTTGTTGTATGTGGTTCCGTACCATGTGATGGCGGGACCACCACATTAATTGTCAAGAGCTATCTCTTTAAATTAAATGATCTGTGGAGATAGTAGCATTGTTGAACAAAAGACAGCAAGAGAAAAAGGAGAAAGGAAGGAATAAGAGGCAGCAAAACAGTCTGTTTTCTTTTCTTGATTTCCAGCTCGTTCACCGTTGGATAGGACTAAGATTTTGATAGCAGCTTCTAGACATGTTACTCTTCATTCTAAATGGTTGGATAAAAGAGTGGTGGTGTGGAAGCTGACTGTTTTGACAGAAAATGGGCTATCAGTATTGTTAGTTTTTCTCACATACTTCTTCTTTAATCTTATTGTATTTCAAGAATAAGTTATTCTTGATGATATGTATGTTGTAACCCTTAGTTGAATCTAAGAAAGAATAGTTATGAACCTATTATTTGTTGATAGTGAATGTTTTTAGATGGACTATAGTTCCGTGGTTTTTCCCGCATCGAGTTTTCCACATAAAAATCTTGGTGTTGATTTGTGTGATTGTTGTATGATATTTGTTGATTGTTTGATCCTGATTTTGATTGCACAAAGAGGGAAAATAATTGAAACTTGTGAATTGTGAATTGATTTGGCTAAATTGGTGTCTGGTTATTTGTTTCTAGTTTTCCCAACTGGTGAGATCTTATTTGTTGCATTGACTTCAAATTCTTGCTTGTAGTTTGAACAAATGATTTCCTTTTTCCATTTGGGGAATTATTTGTAGCTTGCTTGCAAAATGAGTATAAGTTGGATGGACTTTGAACATAATATTATTTCACTCTACTCATTCGTCTTTAGGAATCCTGTTTCCTTTTATAGTTTTCAACCTGTTTCTTGTTATGGTTTGTCTACATTCAGATGCGCCTCTCTGTTTTTCAGTTTTTCATGCAGGCAAAGGCAATTAACCCTTCAGATCCACTTGTATACAATGAACTAGGTGTTGTTGCTTATAACATGAAGGAGTAAGGATACTTTATTCCTATCATCATTATGTGGAAATTTTACTAACATGTCACTTTTATGTTGTTAATTTTCATGGCTTTTCAAAGCATAAAATAATCAATTTTAAAAACGCATTCATTATTAAGTGTTGTATGATTTTCATTGTATGACATTTATTTTATACGGTGCTTACAAAAAACTATTTCAGAATATATTTTATTATTATAAAGGAGGAATTTTGAATATTTATTATATTAATAAGAAGCCCTAAAATCACTCTCAAAAAGGAAAAAAGAAGGATGAGGTCCTTAACTAGTCTATGAACTTTGATATGCATGATGTGTAGAACTCAATAATTTGTGGCCTTGTTATGATTTCAATTTTCAAATAGGCCTATTCCAAGGGAAATAGTGCTCTCTCGACCTTTCTTTCTCATAAAATTGCAGTCACGTTCTATGTTGTGCTTAAATGTCATACCTCATAGTTACTGGTCTGGTAAGGCAGGCAACAATGTAAAGGTAATATATCGTCATCGTTTTAGCATGTACACAAATTAACATGGGACTACAGTTCAGTTTCTCGTGTTGATTGCATGACAATCTTTTCTATTATTGAAATCATCCAACAACATCCTGTATTTGCTTGAAGCTAAAATCCAATTCTTATACTTCATTTTTAAGTAGTAGTGGATTCCCTAATTTACTAGTTGCAGATTATCTTGTCGGACTTGGACTGACTTGGAAGAATGAACAAGTTTTAATGCCAATTATAATGACTTGCCATTAGGTTGCCGGAAAAGTTGGACTATCTAAATGGGGGCAATGTTACAATTTGATACTATCATGATTTAAAAGCCATCTTATTGGTGCCTCTCTTTTTTCCCCTTTTTGCACAGGATGAGTTTACTGCTGCAATCACATACTACCACAAGGTAAGTAAGAGTATTGTATGCTTTCAAACGCAAAATTATACTGTGGTTATAGTGCTCCCCCCATCCCCTCTATCTTCTTCGTCATTAAAATCCCCTAAGCCCTGGTCTTATCATATTTTCTTCTCAATCAGGCTTTATGGCTGAAACCAGATGATCAATTTTGCACTGAAATGTTGAGCTTGGCACTTGTAGAAGAAGGTCGTCCAGGCACAGACCCCAAAATTGAATTCCGCTGAAATGAGTCATTTTTAATGACACTATTTATACTCATTTGTTCTTGTTGAAATGTATGTGGAATCTGAAGTCCTTGAATGGGTTGATTCATCTTGGTCCATTTTAGAGTTTGGCAATATTACATTAGGGAGAGTTAGGCCCGTGATATGACTGACAAAACCAAAATTATTTTTAGCATAGAAGGGATGTTCAAGCACCGGAAGTATGTTTTTAAAAGTAAAAAAAAAAAACCTTGCGCCTCAGCTTATGATCTTGTTGGTTAAAATAAGCTGTTAATAATCAAGTGGATAAAAAAAGAAGCAATGACATTAAATCAACCGAATTGAATACAAAAAGAAGTGATCATAACTTAATGCAAAGATGGAATCAGTGTAAGATCCGAGACCTGAAGATAGAAATGGGGTAGTTTTTGCTTGACTGTCCATTTAGTATGTGTAAGAATCTGCTAATGAAAAACAAGGTGATGGTATTATTTATAGGCACTTCATCCGTGACCATTTCTTCTTATACACACCAAGAAGCAAATGTTGCCTTGAGAGGAATGAACAGACACACAACAGCATATTAAGGCTGCGTATGTTTTTCATCAGCTTTTTTTATTTGTGGTGAAACAAATACAGGCAACAAACCAAATTTCATTTTGTATTCCAGAGGACATTAAAAAATTAAGTTTGAAATGCAATTTTTATGAAGTAATTTTTGCATGTTTTTTAATTGATTTTTGTAAAATCTTGTTTGTTTTTGTGTTTCAAAAATATTTTTAATAAAATCTAAATTTTTTTATTTTTTTCTTTGTTTCAAATTGATATATTTTTAGTATTTTCATATCATTTTGATGTGCTAATATCAAAAATATTTTTTTAAATAAAAAAATATTATTTTGAAGCATTTCCAAGAAAAAAATACTTTGAACCACAATTACATTAAACATTTTATACATATTTTTTTTTATATATAAACTTCAACTATAATTTTTATCAAATAAATAATTAAATTTAACTAATCACAACTAACCATTTTTTTTAAACTTATTATTTTTAAATTATAACCATAAAAACTATCTCAAAAACAAAACAACTCTAAACGATAATAAAAGCAAGCAAGCAATCACTTTGATTCATCATACAAACGAAAGCAAGAAATCACTCATGGCACAACGACAAACACATGTCAGGTGATATTTATTTGGAAAATGGACAGCCACGCGTTGCTGCGGCGGTGGTGACAGTGTTATCTTCTGATTGGCATGGCGATATCAGCGCCCCTTTCAGGAGCCCCCCAAATAACGCTGCTGGGTCATAGTAAACCTCCACATCTTCTGCCCTCAGAGATTCATCCACCTGGGAACCCGGAAAGAATCACAGTTATTTCATCTTTTGTATTAGGCTGTCATTTATTTTTACTTTACCTTTTCGAGTTCCACAAATTCAAAATTTTCAAGTTCTTTATAATTTCTTGTGATATTGTCAAATGGATACCAACTTATCAAATAAAATGCCATTATGAATATTTTTCAACAAAGAAGCAAAAAACAATATTTATGTTATCAGTAGAAGTTTTTCTAATAAACTAAATACCGAAGGAATAAGGCATTGATAAAATGCAAAATTTTGGATGTTAACATAATAAGATTATAAGAAAATAAAATAAAAAAATATCAATTTAATTTTTTTCAAACAAAAATACTTTTAAAATTGGGTTGAATCATAAAAAGAAATACTCTACAAATCCTCCATAAAACAATGAATAAGACCCATCAAACTTGAAAGTTGATGAATTTATTTCCGGAAATGTTTTTTTTTAAAAGAACACGATATTTTGATGTTCTTAGCATTTTAAGTCAGAAATTTGTTTTTCTCCTTTTCGATTACTAGTTTGGTGTTTTTTTTTTCCCAGTATCTTTTAAAGCTTACCTTGAGGACTCCGAAGCCATAGAACTCAACCTTGTCTTGTTTTTTTTTTCCCCAGTATCTTTTAAAACATACCTTGAGGGCTCCGAAGCCATAGAACTCAACCTTGTCTTCAGTAGAAGTCTTAGCATGCTAAGTCAGGAATTTTTTTCTCTTTTATGATTACTAGTTTGGATTTTTTTTTTTTAATCTTTTCAGTATTTTTAATTAAAGCATACCTTGAGGACTCCAAAGCCATAGAACTCAACCTTTTCTTCAGTAGGAGCATGGCCTTTGAAAGGTCCTTCAAAGAAACCCCAATGCCTGAATTTGAAAGAAATCACTGGAGGCCCTGAATATACACTCAGCACTTCCCATGCGAATCCTCGAGGCAAGGCAGATCGAAAGGCATCATGAGATGATTCAAAGGTTTCTTCATCTGCTTTGTAGTACTGAAATTCCTTTGGCAGAGAATTCTTCAACAATGCGTTGTAGCTACCAATCCTAAGCGTCTCTTCTCCCGATAAACCCTCTCTTCCTGCCATAGAATCGAAAATATATCGATATCAGTATACTTACAGGTGAGGTTCAAGGCAACTTCCTTAATTGATAATCTTCCCCTCTCTGTAACATTAGTCCAGTTTAAATCAAAGAGGAATAAATAAGTAAGAAATGAAATTTGGGTTTGAAGTTCGGTATAGTACCATTAACAATGAGCTTGAATTTGTCAGGGTTGATGGTCTTGAAGTCCTGTAAACGAGTCTTGTGTGAGAGTTCCATTTCCCAAGACTTTATAGCATTTTGCACCACTTCTTCTAGAGATCCTTTGGGCCATTCCTGCAAACCATGTCTATAAGCACAGGATTTGAGAGGCAAAAGAAACACTCATCACACATACACGAACGCCTAATTTAGACATATACAAGGACAAAGGAAATGAAAAGAAAAAAGAGAGTCGATAACCTTAGTTCGGCCTTCTTCGAAGAGCTGATTTACGGAATCATATATGGGAGGGCCACCATGCCTCCACTGCGTGATATTCTCACCTTCATCATGTAAGAAAGATCTGTACTTATCTCCTGCTTTTTTAACCAAAGCTTCTTCTGCCATATCAACTTTCCTAGAGGCTAAAACTACAAAGGCTTTTTGAGGGTTTTATAGGAGACCGGAGGAGCTGGCAAAATAATGTTTGATAAATACCAGAAAAGAAAACAAAATCACTTGACTTTTTATTGTCGTTGTGTGTGATAACCGCACAACAATCGTAAAATTTGCTTCAATTTTATAGTATTATGAATGACACATGTCTCAATAATACTTTATCTATTTTAACGGGTTTTTATCCTTTTTGAATAAATAATTACATCTTAAGATTTTATTTTTTTTAAATGACACTTTGTGACAATTATGTATAAATCAATGCGATCTTTTATCAAATGAGTATAATAGCGCAATAATTCCTAGATTAATTTATAGTAACTTGAGACTTTTCTTTGTACTCGATATATATATATATATATAAGGATGTGATGCAAAGGTTGAGGATCATGAAGATGTGCGCATGTCATCGAAGATTGTAACGTTATATACTAATTTTTTTTTTTTTTTATCAATATTTTGGTTTTATTAGTTTTTTTTTTTACGGATTTTTTTAATAAATAATTACATAAGAGATTTTTTTTTTTTTTTTTTATCAATATTTTGGTTTTGTTAGTTTTTTTTTTACGGAGTTTTTTAATAAATAATTACATAAGAGATTTTACAAAGATTGATATTCTTTGACAGTTAGGTAGAGAAACGATTTTTAATTAATGGAAAATGGTATTGCCATAATTCTTCTACTGATTTATAGTAACTCGATACCTTTTCTTTATACGTGAGATGCAACAATAATTTTATTTTATAAAACCTGAAAATAAATAATAAAATGTTTCAATTTGACATCAGTAAAAATGCTAGTAATAACTTGAAAGATCATGTTTCATTATTATTTTTTTTGTTTTACTTAATTTACTTTTATTTATTAAGTTAAAATTTTAATTTTGATTGAATAAAATTGATATATTACATGATAAAAAAAAAAAAGACAGCGGAGATGTGAAGAGAAAATAAGGAAAGAGAAAGATGTAGGAAAAGTGATTTTGGTACCATTTGTTAACGGGATTTCAAACAACTTTCTACTTAATTTTTTAAATTATCCCTCTTAGGATTACCCTACACACATTTAAATATATTAATCACTATAATAAATGTTAAGACTAGAATTATAATATTTGAATTAAATATATTTTAAAGTTTAATTTTTAATATTATTTTTAATCAAATCACATTTAATTAATTATCTTAGTTTAATTTTTAATTAATGATTTTTAATGTATGTGACTAATTAGGTTCCTAATATGTTAACTCAAATATAAATTACAATTACAATTAAATAAATTAAATAATTTAATTTATTATCAATTCAATAATCAATTAATTTATATTAATTTCAAAATCAGGTGCATTTGTCTAGCAATATATCATGATCCCCCATATATTAAAAAAGTTATTAGTGATTTTTTTGTGTGAAATTCTCTTGGTGGTTAGTTTAGTGTACATATTCTATGACAAACACCTACATATTAGTTCTAGATATCTCTTATACCCCAGTTCATGAAAACAACTGCTTCCTTTCATAAAAGAAAGAATCTAACATGTATCAATCTCTATGACTCTAATATATATGCAGTGTTTAGGCAGTGTTTGGGAACACGGTTAAAACTGCGTTTCCAAAAAATTCAAAAAAAAATTATTTTTTATTTTTATTAAAATTTAATATGGTTTGTACGTTTTGGATCGTTTTGATGT